CTGAAGAGACAAGTTCAGAGTTTGGGGAGGGTGGGGTTGGTGAGGTAAGGATTCCCAGTGTAATTCTCACAGGACTGTCCTTGCTACTTCAGAGAATGAGTGTCCACGTGGGGGAAATTCCGCGGCACAACTTCCCTGGAATTTTTTTACCAATGCAATGTTCAGTGTTTTTAAAAATTTCTTAGAAGTCTCCGTGATTGTGCCATGTCCTTGGGTGCCCCAAGCTTCCGAGCTGACATCTCTGCCTTGAACATGGCAGGCGCAGCAGGTCTACTGGGAAGCCAGCGCTTTGATCGTAGCCTTCTTTTATCTTTGTCAGGCGGCTCCCTAATGAGTCTGAGACGTGTCTTACTGAGAGAACACGTCTTCAGCCGCTACCCACTGACTGCAGAGTCATGTGTAAGCACACATGTTGGGAATGATCCGTGGCAACTGTGTGTGTGTGTGTGTGTGTGTGTGTGTGTGTGATGTCGTTTCAAAGAGCTTGTGGAAAAGTGGGATTAAAAGATGATAAAATAAGGTCTCAAGTAGAAGGAAACTGTTTTGAAAAGGATGATGGCAACACATGTACAAATGTGCCTGATACAATGTGTGTATGGATGGGTAGAAGAGCTGTAAGAGTCCCCAATAAAAGGATTAAAATAAAAAACAGAATTGAAAAGAAGACAATAAAACACACGTGTGTGTACATGATCCTGATACGACACTCGTATGTTGTTAGTAGCCATCCAGTCTAACATGCGTGTGTGCATGAGCACACACAGACCACACGCACGTGCATCGAGTTGATAGGGATTGTTGATGACGACAAGGCAAGGCAGAGCGGCCCTGTGAGCTCGGGAGATGGTCCCTCTCACTGGAAGGAGATAGCCCTGTCTTGCTCCTGTGGAGCAGCTGGGGGTTGTGAACTATTGACCTTAAGGTTAGCAATTTCACAGGTGAATCTGTCTGGGAAGAAGTACAGCTGCCAAAATGCTCTTTCAAAGTGAGGGTGATAAGACTATATTTCACGTAACTTGGGTTGTGTGATCAGGAGAGGCCAGTCCCTGGCGAAGACCAGCACGTTCAGTAAAGTGGGGGGGGGGGGCAGTGAAAAGGAGGACCCTCGACAAGCCGGACTGACCCCGTGGCTGCCACACTGGCCTCCAACACAACCACGGACGGTGAAGCCGTCGGCACAGGACGAGGCGGTGCTTCACTTTGCACAGGGTCGCCGTGGGTTGAAACAGCCTCCACGGGAGCCGCAGTCTTCACAGAAGCCTGTGTGGGTGAGGAGCTCATCTGGCTGCACAGACAGAGTCGGCCCCTTCTTCCCAGCCAGTAGCCCGCACTACCTCTCCAACCCGCCCAAGCACCACTCCCCAGGGCCTGGGGGCAGAAGCACTTTACACAGACATCGTGGCACTGATCTTTAACCCCACCCGGCAGTGCCGTCCTTGTTGAGACCGCAGCATCTACATCTAGGATGACAAGGACATCCACAATGAGCAGGATGTGGCCAGAGCGGTCCCTCAGCTCCTCTGTCTAGAACGTGGCTGTGTGTCCCGGGCCTGATGATCAGAGGGCTTGGCTGCCATCAGGATCTTGTCTGACTTGTTCTTCAGAAAAGACCGCTCGCTTCCAGATGTGGACCCTGGAAGAAAGCCATCTTCAGCCACGCCATCCCGAAGGCGGGGGAGGTGGAGAATGGCCTCCCAGAGTGGGGCATCGAGAACGGATGCCTGTGGATGTGCACGTCGGGCTGAAAGTTATGCAGGCGTGTCTTGAAGGCCAGCACCTGGCTTCAGGCAACCAGAGCGGCCATCTGAGGGTCCAAGAGGGGCACTTCACGGACAACCCCTCCAGTTGGAAGCCGGGAGGGGCTGGCCCATGGGGCAAGCCCGTGGGTCACCTGCCGACCTTTCTGCCCACAACTGAGCGCTCAGCCAGTGCACCAACAGGGCTCTGTCAGCGAGCTGTCCAGTCGCCCAGAGCTTCCCGTTGTCACAGTGCAGGCCACGACCCCTTCCAGGAGTCCTTCAAGCACAGAAAGTGGGTCTGTGACCAAGACCCAAGAACAGTGTGTGTGTCACGAATCGCACGATTGAAATGAACCTTCCAAAGACACAACAGTGCCAGCCATTCTGCCTGCACACTGCATCAGGCAGTTAAGAAATCCACAGCACACGGTGATGCGAGAAAGGCTTCCATGACGACAGTCCAACGCAGCCATGCCACACAACTGAACATGGGAAAGAGACGCACACGCAGGCACACGCATGCACACGCCGGCACGAAAGGCGGAAGGAAGGGACCACAGCGGAGACTAATTCGAGCCATTGGTTTCCAACGGGCTGTTCAGACAGTAGGTGGTTTTTCTCCCGTGCTGGACGCCTGGCAGTGACATGTTCTAACGGTTCCACCCACGCGGCTCCTGCGTGTCAGAAGGTGGGCTGTGCCTTCGGTTCCAGCTGTGTCTGTCGGATCAGAAGGGCCATCACGCTGCACAGATGCAGTGAGGAAGAGTATTTTAAAACGAAAACCTTGAAGTTGCTGAAAATCTCTTGACTGAAGTCTTGTTTTGATTTCTTTCTTCTTTGGCATCAGTGATTCCATTTTGTGACCGGTACCTTCTCTATTTTTCTTTCTTCCCTTTGTCGAAGGCTTGGCTCAGGAGATAAACTGCATATTACGGGATGCCTGAGTCTGGCTCTGTTCATTTCAACTCAATTTTGCAGTTAGAAACTGCCAGTGGTTAGAGATAATTTAGGATGGTCACCCATCATGTTAAACATATGATTTCAGTGCTGAATGCTATCTCTTTTAGAGAGCCCTAATTAAAAGTCTTTTTAACCTCTTTTAACACATACATAAGCTTCAAACTTGGAAAACAGTTGTAACTTTAAATGTACAATTAGCCATATCGTGTCACCTGAGGCCCCCTTTGCAAAGGAGCCCAACTCCTCTAACAGGCAGCCAACTGCGATCCTGCTGTGGGTAACTTTGCAAATGTTATCCAATCAGAAGATGCCCCAGTACAACCCTGCCCCAGTTCCTGCTTTGTAGCTTTTCTTGGATGGATATTTGGAAATAGCATGGCGCGTGTGGGGTGGAAAGGCACAGTAACAATCTGGCGTGGCATTATGTCCTCCTCGTGTGCAAAAAGTCTTTCTGGCTTCTGAGAAGTCGGGGTTTTCCTTTAAATAGGTTAAAGGCAGTGGTGGTGTCTGTCTCCACACTGGCAGCAGGTAAGGGACATAAGGACTTTGGTGGGGGGGGGTGGGGGGTGGGCGCTGCCTTACAGCTTCCAGTGCTGCGAGACACAAAAGCTCAATGCACACAAAAGGCTATTGTTGCTTGTTTCCCCTCATGCTGCATAGTTTCCACCAAGACTCCTTATCTTATTTAAATGACAATCGGGGGCGGGGGGGTGACAGAAGCTATAAGTGCAGACTGTGAGCAGGGTCTGCACTTACAAACCTCATCGCCATCAAGTTGATTCTGACTCAGAAGGGCCTGTAGGGTTTCTGAGACAATTCCTCTTTGTGGGAGTTGAAAGTCTCTTCTTTCTCCTGTAGAGTGACTGGTGGTTTCGAACTGCTGACCTTACAGTTAGCGGTCAATCTCATAACCAATATGACACCAGAGTTCCTCCAGTCTATGCTAAGCAACTCAAAATCTGAACGTCACTTAATCTTCACATTCCCTGTGCATGAGAGGAAGGAACAAAGGCACATAAAGACAAAATATTTTACCAAAGGTCAAAGCTTAGTAAGTGACAGAAGCAAGCACTGAACACAGGTCAGATACCTGCTCTCATCCTTCCCTGAATCACAGCAGTACGGAAACATGCTTGACAGACAAGCAAAGGGGTGAGATTATCATGTCTACAGCACACATAAATTGCGGATATTTGGCTTGGAGACATTGAACAAGAGAAAAGCTAAAGGAGGAAGTCATATTTTATATTTGAACATCTAGAGACAGTAACTGAGAGACCAGTACACCACACATTAGAAATAAGGGCTTCCCCGCTGAGGGCTTCCCCGCTGAGGGCTTCCCCGCTGAGGGCTTCCCCGCCTCCTGCGTCAACAGAGCTGGACGCCCACTCAAAACAGGGCTCCATTCACATGGCTCTGTCATGAACCGGTTCTGAGCCAATGCCACCTTTATTTTTTTCACTTCACATGATCATTGCTTTATTGGGCCACCGTATCTGCAGTGAGGAAAGTATTTTAAAATGATCTTTTGAACTCCTATCTTTATTTGTCCTTGTGTTAGCATGACAATGATAATAATTGCAAACAACACTCCCCAGAATTATACTAACAAGAAAATGTACCCACCATCTCCCACCAGAAGCATAACCATAAGCATAGCTCATCATAATCCGGATACGTTGTAAGTCAGGGACTACCAATAAAGCATTAAGATCGGCTGTTACAACATTCGGATATCCTACATCAGGAAGATAAAACACCCGTGTAGTCAGCGGCCATCCTGGAGGCCACACTGAAAATCTGACCTGACCTGCACATGCGCTGCCCTTTTACCTATGATGCTCATGATGTGACTTTCAGAAGCCTCGTCCCAGTCACAACAGAAGTTATACTTGCAGGAACGTCCCAACTGAGGGAAGAAAAACTTCCAACTTGATCTAGATAGCGCTTACCAAACAGAGGTTTTCAATTCCAACATGGCCATAGCTCTTTAGTGCACAGGCAGCAGGTGCCTTGTGACAATCAGACAATGAAGAATTGGTCTCACAGTCTAGACCCACACTGGCACTGCCACCACGGAAGGCTCGAGGCAAAAGCTAGCGCATGGAAACAGGGCAATCCCACCCCTGGTGATGACCTGTCCTGGTTAGCCAATGGCAGGAGCTGAAAGTGTTTACAGAGGAGCTGAGTCCATAGTCACCCTTTGAGAACTTAGATTTCCGTGACTTGGCACGTCTGCCTTCATCAGGCCCATTCCCCGAAGCTGCCTTTGTGTCTTAGAAGCAACACAAAGGAACTTACACGCACTGCTTCCGACTTTTTGTGAAACATCTCTTCCATGTTCTTTGCCAACTTTTTCACAAGCTGGAGACCATCGATTTCCTCAATGGCAACGTCCTTCTCGTATTCTTTGTATTTCTGTAAAGAGAGAGGAGAACGTGAGGGGGACAGTCACAACGCAGAGAGAGGGCAGCGTGAGGGGGACCACCAGAAAACACCATACCTGTGATTTCGGAGCATATCTACCTACCAGCAAAAAGATGCTACAACCTGCCAGTCTGCATTAGATTTAGGAAATAGTACTCTGGGTTTCTAAATATCTCAACCAACTAAGAAATCTCAAAATTGGCTTCCTTGGAAACTGACACCCAGGAAAAACATAGTCTAAAGGTTATTGTGGGGACAGATCACCAGAGGAGGAATCAGAGGGCTAATAACCAACTATAATTTCAACCCATCACCAACGTTATAAATACGGTTTCATTGGAACACAAGCATAAATATTTCTCATGCACAGTCTACGTCTGCTACACAGCTACACGGGCAAAGTCAAAAATTTGTGAGACAGAACATATGGCTCACAACACCTAGCCTATGTATTATCCTGCCCTTTACAGAAAAGCTTGCTGAGCCTTGAACTGAAGGAGAAATTCAAGAAAGTGACAAGGCAAAAGAAATAGTCTTGTAAACTTTTTATAACATTTGAGTCATTGCTGTAAACTTTGTTCTATGAAATCAATGCACTAAATAGTTATCATCCAACTTCTATATGCATGTGAAACTTCGACCTTAAATAAGGAAGCCGGGAGAAGAGTTGATGCATTTGAATTATGGTGCTGTTGAAGAATATTCTCAGTACGATGCACACAATCGCTGAAGACAAAGCGGGTGCATAAGCAAATGTGGTGAAGAAAGCTGATGGAGCCCGGCTATCAAAAGACATAGCATCTGGGGTATTAAAGCTTTGAAGGAAAACAAGCGGCCATGTAGCTGGGAAGCAACAAAGCCCACGTGGAAGAAGCACAACAGCCTGTGTGATCACAAGGTGTCAACAGGATCAGGTATCAGAAGACCCAAAGCAAACAACCATTTGGATGCAAATGAAGGGGGTCAGAATAGAGACCTGAAGCCTATCTGTAGACAATTAGACATCCCCTCACAGAAGGGGTGCAGTATAGCACTGACAAACACATTCCTTACGTTCTTAATGCTTCCTCTCCCCAACCCCTCCACTATCATGACCCCAGTTCTACCTTGCAAATCCTGCTAGACCAGAACGTGTATACTGGTACAGATAAGACCTCTTGACACATGGAATCCAGGACAGATAAACTCTCAGGAACAACCCTGGGAGTAGCGATACCAGGAGGGTAGGGGGAAGGTGGGGGTGGGGTGGGGTGGGGGAGAGGTGAAAGCGGATTGCAATGATTGACATTACACCCCCACTCTTGTGACAAAAAACAGAAGCATGGGTAAAGAGAGAAAGCGGAAAGTATAAGATATGAAAATAATAATTTATCATTTATCAATGGCTCATGACGGTCGGAGGGAGACAAAAAGAGGAGCTGATACCAAGGGCTCAAGTAGAAAGAAAATGTTTAGAAAAGAATGATGGCAACATATGTACAAATGTGCTTACACAATTGATGTAAGAATCGTTATAAGAGCTCTAAGAGCCCCCAATAAAATGATTTCTTAAAAGAAAAGAAAAAAGGCTGATGGACTGCCAAAAGAACCAACAAATCTGTCTTGGGAAAGTACAGTCAGCGTGTTCCCAGAAGCAAGGATGGCGAGACTTGGCCTCGCATATTCTGGACGTCTTTTCGGAGAGAACTGTTCCTGGGAAAGGACACCTGCCGGGTGAAGTGGAGGCAGCACAAAAGAGGGAACCCCAGCAAGAAGGCCCGCACAGTGGGTGCAAAAATGGGCTCAAGCAAACAGCCATCGTGAGGGTGGTTCCGGACCAGCCCAAGTTTTGTTCTGTTGCACACAGGTCTTTCAGGAGAAGGAGCAGAGCGGAAGCTACCCACCCACCACCACCACCACCACAGCCACAGCAACCACCACTGCCACCACCACAGCCACAGCAACCACCACTGCCACCACCACAGCCACAGCAACCACCACCACCACAGCCACAGCCACAGCAACCACCACCGCCACCACCACCACAAAAACCACCACCACCACCACCATGACCACACCCACACCCACAAACACAAAAGTGTCTACTGAAGACTTCCTAGTATACCACGGGGCTCACAGGGGTGTGGGTGAACAGAAAGTACAAAATATACTGAAAACACTTTATGTGAGATTTCACAATTTGTTCACCTGTTGATAATGAACTAACTTCACCCGCAGTTTACTCATGCTCTCAATTAAAGATAATTTTTCATGTAAAACACATGACACACAGTGGTCAATTCCCTGTTTAAACTAGTCATTCTAAAAGTGTCTCAAGAATCCCTGGGGGTTCCAGGGACCCTCAAAGGGTCCATGAGTTCCTCCCTTTTCAACAATATATCTACGTGAAGATAGATTTTACTTATTTATGTTTTAAATCATTTTTTTGGAGTCTCTTACAACTCTTAACACCATACATACATTGTATCAAGCACATTTGTACATAGGTTGCCATCATCTTTTTCAAAACATTTTCTTTCTACTTGAGCCCTTGCTATCAGCTCATTTTCCCCACCCTCCCTCCCTCATGAACCACTGATAATTTATATTTCTTTTTCTTTTTCCGAAGGTGTATTTTATTCGTGCTGCTCAAACACAGCTTAAAAGCTTGTAAGCAGAAGACATGAGACCCCAGCTGTCTGCTCTTGAGCCAAATAGTAAAGAGATTTTGTGAAAATAAAAACTAAACAAATGCCACTCAATTGGCTTACAAAATGATTTTTTTTTTACCGAGCCATTTTTATAAATAGGTTATTTATGTTATACACAGTGAGTTTTTCCAATTAATTTAATAAGTTTTCAATGTCTTGATTCCAATTCCTAGTACAAAAAATACTAGTAGATACAACCCACATAAACAGAATTTCTTAGAGAATCTTCAAACTTGATGGAAACAAGAGTCCTACGACCACCCATGTTGGTCTACTTGAATTTCTCCTTACAGAATCACAACACTACTGCCTCAATAGGCTTAGGGATTTGAGTCAGGGAGGAAAGGGTTTTGCAGCGCTCTCTCTCTTTCCCATACCCCTCCACCCCCTCTCTCCCTTTCTCCTCTTCTCATGGGACAATGAAACAATGCAGCTTCACTCTTATTTTCACCGGCCTGTGCTGAAAAATCCCGGTTGTCTTAACTGAGTATATGTGTGACCAAGTGGCTCTCTCCTACCCAGCTGTGCTGTGTGCTGCCTCAGTACTGGGGCAGTCAAAGGATGTTTAGCCTCCTTCTCTAAGGGTGACTCCTCCCATCCTTTGGGAAGATGACTTAAGCCACCCCACCACCAATGTTCCCACATCCCACGACAACTGGGTTAAGTTCTGGGCTGTTAACTGCAAGGTCAGCAGTTCAAAACCATCAGCTGCTCCACTGCAGAAAGATGAGGTTTCCTAGTCCTGCGAAGAGAGGCCGTTCTACTCTGCCCTATAGGGTCTCTATGAGTCCTGCGAAGAGGGGCCGTTCTACTCTGCCCTATAGGGTCTCTATGAGTCAGAATCAACTCGATAGGAGTGAGTTTGGTTTCTGGTTTTTGGTGGGACTTTGACCATCAAAACCCTGGCTCAAGCGGACAGTGTCCTCTGATGTCTGGATAACACTGGAGCAGGAATCCCGGAAAACTCACTCTAAGTTTCACAGCAAGCCAGTATCCTTGGAGCCTAACCCCCTGCTGGTTTTCTGCTGCCTGCCAGATGTGCACCACAAGCCAACAGCTGAGGCCCGCTTGTCGCTTCACTACCCAAAACACAAAGTTCAAGAAGGGCATCAAATCAAACCAAACTCGAGTCAGGTAACAGGATGAGTCACTAAAATTAATCACTGTCTTACGTAATTCTGCCCGTAAACTGATCTCCTGGCTGCAGTACAGGAAGGATAGGGTGGGTTCACAGGGAAGCCCTACCAAACACACGGTCATAAAGCCAGTCCTGACTCCGGGCGACCCTGCATCAGTTTCGGGGCTGCAAATTTTGATGAGAGCGGAACAATTTTAAGTAGGGAGGTCTGGTGGCACGGTGGGTTGAGCATTAGGATGCTAACCAAAAGGTCAGTGGTTCCAGCCTGCTCTGTAGGAGAAAGACAGGCAGACTGCTTCAGTAAAGATTTACAGCCTCAGGAACCCTGGGTGTAGTTCTACTACCACCTATAGATCGCTGGAGTCAGTATCAACATGATGGCAGTGCATTTGGTTTGACATTTTAAATAGAAAATGAATCTTTTTAAAAATGTGCTATGTGCCATCGGGTCACTTCCGAGTCATAGTGACCCTACAGGGCAGAGTGGAACTGTCCCATAGAGTTTCATAGGCTGTCACCTTTCCCAGCAGGAGCCCTGCCTGCTGATACTAGTGGCTATGTATCTGGCTGCTAGCCCATATGTTTGCGGCTCAAACCTACCTGTCCCTCCACCACAAGGGATAGAGAGGAGGCAGCTTGCGTCCGTCACTACTGCAGCTGTGGAAACTCTATGGGGCAGTAGCACCAGTCCTGTTGGGTAGCTGTGCGTCAGACCAGTCCCTGGAGAAGGACATCGTGCTTGGGAAAGCAGAGGGGCAACAACAGAGAGGAGAGCCCTCAATGAGGATTGACACAGTGGCTGCAGCGAGGGGCTAGAGCACGGGCAGTGTGGTGAGGTGGCACGGGCCCAGGCGGGCCTCCTTCTGTGGCATGGTGGGCTGCTGAGGGTCAGATCCACCTGGTGCTGCCCAGCATCAGCCACCACGAGTGGGAATCAGCTCTATGACAGTGAGTTGGATTTTTTGAGTTTCTTATGTGCCAGGGTTCTTCTTGGTTTTTATGTCAGGCCACATTCTTCAGCCACATCTGTTGCTTGTGTGTGTCCCCTCAAAACAGGCCTCTACAGGGAATCCATGCATTTCACTTTGGCTATTTACTATGATGCCAGTCTCTTCATGTACCCTCCTTTCTTCTGGGTCTGTCCTAAGTAGGAGCCACTGACT